TATCCATTATGACATGTAGGCATTTTTATATTTATGTAGCCTACACAATAATAATCTTTTACATTGTAATCCTTTAATTTTAATATTTGGCATGTTTTGTGCTACTGTGCCTCCCTGTGTGTGTAATAAGCAGAGTGTACACGCTGTGGACCCGCCTATACTAATGGACTCTTTAAATAACAAAAAAACTACTGCTCCATTGACTTTAGACCAGGTTTTAGTTGGTCAATGGCGCAGTCTATTTCAGTTGCCTCAAAATAGCAACGCACAAACAATGCACCTGAACGCACAAATGCATTTGCTATTTAAGCAACGTGGCTCAGGACATGAAAATGACAACTGCGTCGGGTTGAAACTAGCAAAAAAAACACTTGCGTCGCGCCTGGCGCCGCATTGCGCCGTGTGTATGATAGGGCCCAATATCTCAAAATTGTGACTTTCAACTTTTTTTTCTTCAATTTGGACTTGATTTCATAAATGCAGTTTTATTTCTCATAATTGTTTTTAATATCTCACAATGGCAAATTTATTTCTCTTAACTGTGATTGTATGTACATGTTTCTCAAATTGTAACTTTTTCTCATAATTGTGATTTTTATATCTCACAATATGTGAGATATAATATGTGTGATTTCTTTATATATATATATATATATATATATATATATATATATATAATTGCAACATTATATCTCACAATTGTGACTTTCTATATTACAACTGTGACTTTATTTCTCATAACTGTAATTTTATCTCACAATATTGAGTATTTTGAGAGTCACAATATGACTCTTAAGTTAGATTTTATATCTCACAATGTGATTTATTTCTCTAATATTGATTATTCTTGAGTTATTTCTTTTATTTTTGTACTCTGAGGCAGAATTGGGCTTCCACACATACATAAATACACTGTGTCCAAAAAAATAAGGCAGAAAATAAGCTAAAAATACCTGTTGAAAGCTCGCATACAAAATAAAAAAAATACCAAAGCTCGGATAAACTCAAGTACTCACGTACTGTACTGGCAGCAAAAAAAAAAAACAGTTCTAGATCCATTGGTTAGATAATTCATGAGCCAGGTCTCAATTTCTCCCAATGGGCTTTCACAGTGAAGCTGTGCTAGAGTTTGAGTAGAAATCACCCAGCTGTGAAAGACAGATCATCTGCTAAGACAATCACCAGCCATCTAACTAGAATAATGAGTCAGTCCATCAGACACATCCATCTAACCAGTGTTCAACATAATGACACTCACATGGACATTTGTTTCACAACATTTGTTTTAATGGCCAGCACATCTTTCATTGAGGATTGATATTGTTAATGTTAAAGAGATAATGAGTCAGAAAGCCACCTCTCCTCCTGTGATCATTAAAAACAAACCGTGATACCTCATGTGTAATACTGTGGATATAAATTAGTCTCCTACATTAAGATGCAGTTGCTGCGCTAATTTATATTTCAGATCTCCGGCCCTGTGTTTCAGTCATGTCGTGGTGCCATTTAAAGAAATATTCTGGGTTGTGTCTTTAGCGTAATGACACTACCGTTCAAAATTTTGGGGTCAGTTAGATTAGAATTTTTTTTTTAATTAATACTTTTATTCAGCAAGGATACATTTAATTGATTAAAAGTGACAGTAAAGACATTTATAATGTTACAAAAGAATACTATTTCAAATAAGTGCTATTTATTAACTTTCTATTCATCGAAGAATCCTGTAAAAAAGGACTGCATCACAACAATTAAGAAATGTTTCTTGAAGCAAATCGGCATTTTAGAAGGATCATGTAACACTGAAGTCTGGAGTAATGATGCTGAAAATTCAGCTTTGCATCACAGAAATAAATGATGGTTTCAAATATATTGAAATAGAAAACGGTTATTTTAAATAGTAATAGCATCTTGACAATTATTACAGTTTTACTGTATTTTTCATCAAATAAATTCAGCCCTAGAGAACATAAGAGAAAGAAAAACATTAAAAAATCTTATTGACCTCAGACCTTTGAATGGTAGTGTATTTTACACTTCAAGGTCATATAATAGTCTCATCTGTTAGCATGATAATATTCTTCAAGAAAAAAATTGTAATTTTCTGGCCTGGAGGTCCTATACAAAAATAACCCAGAATATTCTTTTAAAGGTTTTAGCCTTTTGGTGCTTCATAAAATATATGGTTCCCCTTGTATAGTACAATGTCCTGCTGATGTGACCAATCCTGAAGAGCAATAATGTGATTCTTCATATCATGAGAAAATTCCCATTTGGCTTCCCCTCAAGTGGTATGTATATTTTTTATTGATATATATATATATATATAGACATATATAATATATTGGTGTGATAAATGGTATATTATTGCTTAAGCACTAATCACAGAAGTCTGGGATAGCTGCACTTTATAATGCAGAAAGAAAAAACATGCATAAAAATTAAAAATTAACGCGATCAGCGCCTGCAGCAGTATTACAGTGAAAACTAACATGGTGTGTACAGTGTAAATGCACATGACTATAATTTTTGTCAGAGATTATCGATGTTTATTTTCTTATGTTTGTGCTGTACATGTATGTGTGGCTGGGGGTTTGTGGGTGTACGATGGCATACTGTAAGTACATATTGTACTGTATTTATCATTGATATTCTTTGAATCTTAGCTGTAGTATCACTCTGGTTTACGGTGTACCAACTGGATGTTTTTTAATCGTGCTTATATTTATTTTATGTTCTGTTTTATAGCTTGCACAGACATTTTGGTTGTTAAAAGATGTTCTTTCGACCTCAAAAGCTTTTTTAACATCTGATTCCTATATTTTCTTCTGCCATCCCACCTCGAAAATCATTACGAAATGGTTTATTTGGAGACAATAGATGGATTTCCTACCAAATTGATCTGAATCCATCTCTTTGAGTCCTTTTAGGGCTTTGAATTCATGACCTTTTACACTGTAGAGACGATGAAATTTAAAGTTTGAATAAAAAAAATATATTCTGAAGCCTGTGGTGTTTTCTTTGACAAGCACTTCACTGATGTGTATGGACTTTAAAAGGAAGGACGTTTTATATTGAACACATTTAAAGAGCCCTGTGGCATCTCTGGCCCCTGACCTGTGGAAAACTGGCTGGTTTGCTCTGGAGAACCTGTAAAATATGAGAGAAAGTGACGTGGTGCAGAGTTGGAGGGGATTCGGCGTTCTTCGGGCATCCTAACTGACACCGGATGTCCTGAGGAGCAACAAACGGACAAGCAAGCAATCAGAAAAGACGGAGCGATTCGACCAGCTCACATTTATAACTGTCACTCAACAGGGTCAAAGTGGGAAGTCTCTATTTCTCATTCCTCCCTCCCCACATCACAAGGATTGATTCTTTTCCGAAGGGAAACATGTTCTCCTGCTTTGAGATTCCCTCTTATTTTCTCCGGGCTGACTGCTGCTAACTCTCCCGGTGAAGATTGAAAGCACTGTCAAACAGGGCTTACAAAAGTCTTCTGATCTTTTGAGAGGTAAATCTAAAGCTAAAAATCTTTTATCATTGCTCAAAGTACTGTAATGCAGGGCATAAACATCACGCTATCAAAAGGTTCATTTAGCATGATTGGGCCACGTTAAGAGGGAAATTGACTTGATCTGGGCACTTCATGGTTCAGTAATTGAAGTTAATCAGTTTGTTTAAACTAAACATTAAAATTGATCCTATTTGCTTTCTTATTACGCATTCCTGGTCTTTGTACATTTAGTCAGAGCAAGTTATTCTAAAGAAAAACAATTGCTTGAAAAAAAAGCTTTTCTTCTCAAACAATGTTCCTTTTAGGAACTTTTATGTAATGTAGGTATAAATCCTGAAGTTTTGTTCAACTTTGAAATACATCACATTATGTAAGTAAAATAGATTAAGCTTTTTGATATTATCTTTCAATGCTGCATGTCATTTTGCCTTTAAAATGCACCTTTTGCTTGTCAAAAAAATGCTAACAGTTTCTAGGACAGGAACTGAGCATGACACAAAATCTGTGTGTGTGCGCGTGCTTTTTGTGACTGTTCTAGACATTCCAAGCTGCAGAAACAGTCACTAGCTTCTGCCTAGAGTAACTAGTTGGGAAAATCTGTCAAGACATACCAAGGTCACACTTCACCCCAAAAGGAGCCTTAGAATTTTTTTGCATTGTGACACTGTTTCCATAACAAATAAGTATCTTTTTCCCTCCAAATTCTCATTACTGTAATGCCTTTGCCAAACGCATAAACGTAAACATGTAAAATGAGCTTAATTGACCTGTAAATAATGTCACAATGAAAATTCCTAATAGTTATTTTTTCTTTAGATTTTTTAGCTGAAATGTGAACTGGACTAATTTTTTTAAATTTTGAAATGTACACAGGGGTGTACATATTTGCCTTGACAATGATTTGCTTGTTTATATAATGAAATCTAAACTTATGGCATGTAGATTTTCTCCAAAGATTTTTCTCTTTGTATAACTGTAATGGTTATACAAAGTAGGTTCCACTCAGTTATTGGCATATTTGGTTGATTTTTTACAAGAAATTAAAAGATTTTTATATTCAATTTGATCTAATTTTATATCGGCCTTATGCATTGTAATGTGCGGACATACTTTTACACATTACTACAGAAGGGTTTAGCATGCACTCAAAAAACCAATGAAGTCTAAATTGCTCCTGTAATACTTTGCTGCTAGTAATAGCTACCAGTCCGTGTCCCAGCATTCATCTGGAATCAGACAGAGGCTGATTGTGTAACAAAAACATTCATTTCTGTTTACCACGAAACAGGTCGATATCCTTATAAAACAATCAATCCGCACTGCAGGTTTCCCAGCGAGAAGCAGCAGCCGTATTGTGTTACGTATTGTTTTGATTATCATTCAATTCACATGCTTGTAAAAATTGCCCTTTGTGCTTTAAAGGCGAGAAGTTCAAGTCAGAACATCGATCAACTGATGTCACTGAGATAGAAGTGGACAGAAAACAAATGCGAATCTCAACAAATCTCAAAAGCAGCTAAATGGAAGAGTTTGGCTTCTAGACCAAAAAGTCTGTCGTTTGAGAACATCAATCTTACCCCAATTGCATCTGAAAACTCTCTCGGCTGTCCTTGCTGTTTCCTGTCAAGGTCTCGCTGGTCTCCCCCTGGACTGTGTCTCAGGCATGGCTGGAAAGGGCTACAGAGACATCCATAGCGATTGTGTAGTGTTGACCGACTGTAGTAGCTATTGTGCAGGTCTTTGTGATTCACCAACGGTTTGAGCTTCTGTTCCCTATGGCTACTTGTCCCTCTGTAACCTCTTACTCGTGCCAGTCTCCGGATCACCACTCTGGGTCTGACTGAGGCCGGCAGGCCATTGGCGGGCGATGATGACCCGAAGTGGGCCGTCTTAGACAGGCGCTCATTGCACCATTCGATTTTCCATCCAGATGCCTTTTCCCAAAGAGCTTCAGGACTCCTTGTTTCATGGTTCGCAGAGATAAATCCCACACACCCCCAAGATGTGGTTTCCTCTGTCATTTCCTCATGAGATGATTCCGGAATCCACTCTATCATTGGCAGAATCCCACTCACCTCTACAATATGTACTTGCAGTGAGTTCTCACAGACAGTACTTTGTATCTGGGTCATTGAATCACTAGATACTCTGGGATTTATGGGTACACAGCTAGGGTCTGGTGCACTTGGTCTTTCAGTGGTAATGATCACATCTGGGTTGGCAGATTTAGTGAGGACGCTACTGATTTGGGATGCTTTCCATCTTGAGTTTGCTTCATCTGATGCATCATTTGTTCTAGATGCGCATGACCTGGGCTGAGCAAATAAATGAGGAGACAAAATGATGTTCCTCTCATCCAAGTAACTGCACTTGTGCCTAACCTTCTGTTTGGCCTCCTGGTATCGGTGAAATGCATTATCATCTGCTAAAAAAAGCAGTAAAAACAGTAATATTGTGAAATATTATTACAGTTTAAAATGTCATTCATTTCTTTGATGTTAAAGCTGAATTTTCAGCATCATTACTCCAGTCTTCAGTGTCACACGATCCTTCAGAAATCATTCTAATATGCTGATTTGCTGCTCAAGAAACATTTCTTATTATTATCAATGATGAAAATGCTTTGGTTTTTTTAGTTCTAGGAGGTTTCTGTGCTTGTTCAATTGATTTTATTGTGAATAAAATGTATTATCTGGACAATAGTTTATATTTCCCTCTTTCTTTCTTTTAATATTTTGTATATTTCCCTCATCATTCCCACACTGTCTTTCTTAAAAGAGGAACAATTTTAGCAGTACTACAACATAATGAAGACGCACATTAGTTGATGCTTCATGTATTATATGATGTATTCAAGTCATGTTGGAAATATCATGTTTATGAGTTGAATGCCACCACAATATCAAAATTATGAGTGGAAAATTATGTTTTCAGTCAGTGAAAAAAATAAACGTCTGACACGATGGATGCAGCATTTGTAGTTGGCAGGAAATATGTTGAAATGTATGAACTTTTTTCATTTACAATAAAACTAGCTAAATTGCATATATGATAATATTGTACAATTACAATTAAATATGTAATGATTCAGTTTACAGCACATTCATAAATTGATTAAAAACATAAAAAATGACACCTTACGGTTTATTTATTTTGCAGAAGCAGAGTTAAAAAACCTTGCATCTTGCTCTGACCAAAGTGATTTGAAAGCATTTGACTTCATAGCTTGTAAATATTAACTTCCCAGGATGACTTGAAAGCACCATTATCATTCTTAAGCTGCCACAGAGAATGATGGGAAATGTAGTTTGGTGTGTTTTCTGGAAAGCTTTATTGCTATTCTTCACTGCTACCCCAATATAGACGCAGTTAACTACACTATCACTATTTGTGCTATTTATTATTGTTGCCAACAATCCTAGAAAAGAATAACTGGAAAGGCTATGCTGATGATCCATTACCTGCTGCAACACACCTGCCGGTAATTGTGAAGTAATTCTATAAACCCTGATTTAGGGCTGGAGCTAAACTGCATCATATTGATTCTACACCTGCATTAGAATATGCTGAGAAGATCTAATGTCTGCTTTGGGAGCAAGTAAATATCCTCACAGGATATTTGGGTAAATATAAACATTCCTATTTAGACTGTTTAACAAGGTTATGTCTATATCAGAGATGTTAAACCCTCCCTCTTTCTTGTCCATGGGGCTTCATTGCAAATGCTCTGAAGTCTAAGCCCTGTTAGGATGATGATTAATCACAGGTCTGGTTTTTAAATGTCAGGTCTGAGCCCAGTGTGGCCTGGCTCTGATCGATGTCCCACTTTATGGCTATCTTTCAGAAAGCTACACTGACGCTGTTGGACTCGCTATGACTCACCGTTTGCTCCAGAGAAGGTGAGTGGTGGAGAGTTTAAATGCAAATGTCTTCAACATCTAACCTCAGGAGAGCAGAGAGAGATACTGGGGTCCAAATTCTGAGACAACTAGTGACTTTTCCATTATTTACCTATGTAATACAGATTAATATTACGTATTATAAATTATCATGCTGAAATGTTTCTATATTTAATGAATTTTTGTATTTTTGTCCTTATTTTGTTTTAATGACAACATCACTTAAGCTCAATGAACTCCACAAGTTAAACCTGATGATAATGTTATCTGGAATGACTTGAAAGTGATCCAGAAAGAATCTTGTGCTTTCAATAAAAGCAAGAACATCTAAGTAAAGCTTCAAAGGTTGGCATGCCCAAGAAATAATGCAGAATCTTACACTTCTTGCTTTTTTTTTACTGTGGTCTCAAGCTAGGTTCAGAGTAAACCTGGCTGATATTTGCTCCTGTGAGACCTGTGCATAATATGCAGTATGAGTGAGTTTTCTGTTATTTTTCAGCATTTTGAGAAGATGCCAAATACTGGAGTTTGGGGAAAATATCCAAGATATGCACTATTCTAAGCTTTGATGTTCCTCAACAACTTAGAATGTTTTCACAGAAAAATGATGATTGATTAATAAGTGAAGTGCAAAAGGTGCACATATATGCTAAAATCACCAAGAGTAACCTTAGAATTTAAGCAATGTTTTTGTTTGTAAGAAATTATAAAATAAATACAAAGTTCTGTCATGAACCTGTGGCACAGGCCAAATGGGTTCTAACTCAATCTGATATAATTACATAATTATTCACTTGGCACAGCTGATTGGCTTTAGCTGCATCAGCAGCCAATGAGCTTGCTGCTCAACATTCAAATACTCGGCTAGTGCTCGCTGTAGCAGTTGCAGCACGCATCAGAAACCCTCCACCTTCCCCAGCTCCACCTGTATAGATCTGCTATGGGGATAAATTCATGTTATTTATGAGAGTTATTTCATATATGTTATATGCGCAGCAGCACTATTTCTTACATGCTCACAACAGCTTGTCTGTGGCTGTATTGGCTGTAGCAACCTAGGTGCTTGCTCTCTGCCAAGACCAAACACATTAACATTGTATATTATGCTAAACTCTCCGAGACTTGTCATGACAGAAATACAGTTAAGTAAAATAATACTAATCATTACTTCTGAAAAAATGACATGGGGAAAAAAAGTAGCCTGTACAGGCTTATGCAGTTTGCGAATGATGAACTCATGTAGTCATTTAAGGCCTATGTTTTTTTGGAGAATTGAGTTTGCATGGAAAGCCCTTATATGGACATGCCCTGGGAGTGTTTTATGCAAATTACTAGTTGCAGAGACACCTGCCCTCATTTACAATAATCCAGATTCATCAACGATAAATGATGACAAGAACACATTTCTGTGTTCACGTGGCTGTTGTGAATCCCTCAGAGATTCAGTGTGAGAACATTTTCTGTGCACCTATGCAATATGTGTGAAATTATTAGTGAACAAGGCCCGATGTTACAAATAAAGAAATAGTTCGCCCAAAAATGAAAATTGTAGATGATGTAGAGTTTATTTCTTCATCTGAACTGATTTAGAGAAATTTAGCATTACTGTACATCACTTGCTGGATCCTCTGCAATGAATGGGTGCCATCAGTATGAGAGTCCAAACAGCTGATAGAAACATTTCAATAATCCCCACTACAAGAATTAACATTTTGTGCAGTAAAAAGTTGCGTTTTTGTAATAGACAAATTAATCATTAACATTTTTTTTAACATCAAACCATTGTTTCTGGCTAAAATGCAAGTCCTCTGTCCATAATATTGCTTTCTCCAGTGAAAAAATCTGAATCAGGAGAGAAATATGCACAGACCAAGTACTGTTACAAAACACTTCTAAAATAAGTTGGTGGATTTTGATGTGAGAAGACAACAGGTGATGGCCTTTTTCACTGGAGGAAGCATTATTATGGATTATGAATTGGTATTTTTCCCAGAAGTGATGGTTTGAATTTAAAACATCTTGATGAAGTTTTTGCTTAAGATATTAATTGATGGACTGGAGTCTTGTGGATGTTATTGTGATGTTTTTATCAGCTGCTTGGCCTCTCATTCTGATGGCACCCATTCACTGCAGAAGATCCATTGGTGAGCAAGTGCTATATATATTAATGCAAAATTTCTCCAAATCGGAGTAAATATTCAGCAAATTTTCATCTTTGAGTGAATTATTCCTTTTTATCTTTGACAGAGAAAATGTCAAAGCAAGAAAGGTCCATTGCGGTGAGTTGGGTTGGTAATTGTATCAGTTGCAATAATTCTATATTGTTTGAGCACATATGACTCGGTACCAGAGTGCTGTTGTGAGTGAAGTGTCAATTGCGTATCTAACAGTCAGTGGTGGTCTTGACTCACTCGGTGCCCTTGTTGAGCTCCAACATGAGGCTGCTTAGAAGTTGCTCAGGAAAAATGACATGCTAAGTTAATTTTTTTTTAAATATGGACAAGTGGAACAGAGAGCAGGTGTAATGCTGTAAAAAAAATACTGTGGCTATACACAGCTGGCCTCAAGATGACAAGTGCCCTCTAAAACCAGTAAATCAGACCAATCTAGACTGCTTAGGGTATTTTAGAGCTGAACTTCGTGTTAGCAATGTTATTACTTTAATAAATTGTATAAATGTTATTTATAGGTAATGTGATTGCATATTGTGATGCATTTTATATTCAAAGTTGATACTTATTTAAAAAAAGTCTCCTGAGCTACTAAAAAGCAACATTTGGGTAATAAAATACAATTTCAGAGATCTGCTAACTGAGCTGAATCACAGTTTTAAGTAGTTTAATGTATGTTGATGAAGTTGCATACATTTTGTATCTTGATTATATAAATGTGTGCCAAGTATCCCATTACTCCAAGCCTGGTTATTGGCTTTTCAAAAACTGCTTTAGCAACACATTTTCACCCTCCAGTCAAAACAATAGTTAAAAGCTCAAACAAACATAATAACCAGTCAAAACAGAAAAAACATTTGCAAATTAAGCATCTGGCCTCATGTCTCCATGTGCAGAGAAACCTCTACATGCTGAGTGATTGGCAGGACGTTGCGGCTTTCAGTCCCCATACACACTGCGAGGTGATTGAGGCATGCTGGGTAGCAAGCTAGACCCAGTAGCAGACAAATGTTTGCGCCGCACATAATGGATGCCTCCAGATCCCCACAAGGAATTTCCCATAGCAGCAGGTGAAAGCAACTGTGTAATTAGATGCAGGTCGCTCACAGGAAAACGCCAGCGTCGCCCATTATCTCCTCTATACTGCTGCTTGAACTAAACCATGTTTAAGGGAACGCAATGGGACTGTCACTCAGAACTCTGATTAGGACTCTGATGTGGCATTAGAGCCATTTCAGAGAGTGTATTGATTTTTCTTTGGCAGCAGTTTACTCTTTCCAACTAGATTCATTACAGTGTAAGTCATTACTTGCAAAGATTCCCTGACTGAATATGAATTTGTTCGATTGCTTACCGTTGATTCCTCCATCCGTGTCGGAACACTCCCAAGCGCAGCATAGATCCCGCTTCTCGCCTTTTCTGTGGAAATTTTTTAAAATTAAATGCAGAAAAGTACAGAATTATATAAATACACAGAAAAATTGAAATCGCATCATATGACCCCTTTAACAAATAAAATGTAAAAATAAAAAATATATATATATATATATATATATATATATATATATATTCATCAATATATTTATTAGAAATGTAACTTTTATTCTATTTTCAGTTTATATGATTTATAAATTACATTTCTATTTCAGTAAAGTAAATATAATTACAATAATATATATTTCTTTTAAAATATACATTAATGAAATCCATAATATTATCCATAAATTCATGTTGTTATATATTGCTATATAAAATTATATCAAATTTTTATATATAACTTGGATGGATATTGGAGATTTGCTAATTGAATTAAACCACAACGAAGTCAAAAATAAAACTCGATTTCCACAGAAAGGACTAACAGAGACTTTTTACAAAGCAGCAGTTAGTGTGTTGTATTCTTTATATTGGTTGGTGCTGAATTGTTTCTGATGTGATGGCAACAGGCAGGACAATAGAAGCTCTTCACTATAGCAAAACAACATCAGTTCCTAGTAGGCAGTCAAATGAATGGAGCGTCCAATGCTAACAGATTCTCTGTGAATGTTCCTGTAGCTCATCATACCTCTCATCTGATAGAGAATGCCTCCATAGCCCAGGACCAATGAGTCATGGAAGTCCATAATTATTCCTGGTTATTGTTTTCCATTACCATCACCTAATATCAGTGCCACTCACAAACCACCTCTAACATCTCTAAAGTACACTTTTTGTGAAAGCGTAATGCAGAAGCGGAACAAAGTGTAATTTTCTCTGTTCCAGCCCTGTGTTCACTGCAGCAAACAATAGAAATGGCTTGTTTTGATGGTGTGAGAACTCTTCATCCCTTCAGCAGATTGTGTGCAACAGTGTGTGAGAGAGAGAGAGAGAGAGCAGAGCCAACTCAAAATTGTAAGATATAAAGTTACAATTTAATTTCTTTTTATTTTTAATTTGTAAGTCGAATCAAAAATAAGTAACGAACCCGCACACTATCAATACTTGCAAACGGGATGATATTAAAACCTTGTTAAGATGTGCGGTTTCTGATAACCAATTGTGAATTTATAAACATAATTGTTTTTGTATGTGAATAATGATATTTTTTTAATTGGGGATGTTGTAAAGTGTCTTCTATTGTATACTTGAGCCATTGGTATCTATTACACATGTGTTTGTAATTAGTCCACATGTGATTGTCAGTTATACTCATTGATTGTGAAAGTATATAATTATGTCTTGTTTTTAATACATTTGCCTGATGAAGGTCAGTGGACCGAAACGTTGCGTTTAATAAAGTTTAAGAATTAGCAAGTATTGATAGTGTGCGGGTTCGTTACTTATTTTTGATTCAACTTTTTGTTTGATTTTGTTCCCATGCACCTATCCTCGTTTCAGGTGTGCTGAGTTTACGTTGATTGAGCATTTTAATTTGTAAGTAGAAATGAGCTTCCATAACAGAGAGAACTGAAAACGAAACTTTTAGATTTAGCTATTTACAACATCTAAAGAAGCCTGTTTCTACCTCAGAGTAAAAAATAAAATTTGAGATATATAACGTGTTGTTTTATATATGTAAAATCTGGAAACAAACATATCTAATACACATGTATTTTAATTTTCATTATTATTATTTCATATTTAATAAAACAGAGATTTGGTAATAGTTCAACCAAAAAATAAAATTAAACACTTATTTAAATTGTTACAATTCTTTTTCTTTTCTTTTTTTTTACTTGGAACACAAAAATCTATATTAGGCATTTCTGAGCTGCTCTTTTCCATATCAATAAAATCATATCCAATAAAACCATTTAGTGATCATAACATGATTCCGCATGACTTGTGGACCATCTCGTCTTCTGAAGTCATATGAGTTTATAATGACATGAGGGTGACTAAATGACAGAATTCAAATTTTTTGGGTGAACTACCAATATTGAGTAAAATTTAGGAAGCATAATAGTCAAAAGAAGCTAATAACTGTACCTTTTAGTCTTCTGTTTATTTTCCGTGAGCTGCATGTTGGCACACGTTTGTCTCGTGGTCTCTTCTGAACACTTTGACATGGTCACGTTCACACACAATGCTATAATTACACACGAGAGACACAAGAGTAACCAGGAACTTGGACAGGCTTCAGTAACTGGTCAAGGTGATGTATGACAGCGGCCTTCCCACTGCCAACAGCTGACACCTGAACAAAACTTACCAAAAATACTACTGTATATAGCTGCTCTTAATGTATTTTATTTCTTCTAAAGAGTTTGAGGAGAAACATCGAAGGCAAATGAGAACCCCATTAAGCTTTTTAGCTTTAAAATGGCTGTATTTGAAATCTTGCTCTGGCAGTTTCTCTTTAGTCACACTGTGCTGGAAGATGCTGAAAGAAACCGATAGAAGCATGACGAGTGGAAGGAAACTGTGGGCTTCCCTGAGGCTGTCTGATCCATCTGGTCACTCAGGCATTCATGTACTTCCCTTCTCCAAGTCTCCATGAGGAAAGTCCAGAGTTGAGCTGCTTTCTGCCAGCCAGGCTCAGATGCTCGAGTCAGGGAACAGCTGCTGCTGATGGCAGGGAAAAATGAAAGCGCTTCGTTTGCTTTTACATTCGTAGTGCACTTACTCTTAAACCAAAAAGCAAATTCATATTGCTGTGGAGACACTAACGCATGCACTTCTGCCAGAGACAATAGTGATTAACTCTGCGAGTGTGTAACTTGAGCACGTTTGGTAAAAGTGTTGGGTCTTGGATTGGGACAAGTCTGGGCTTGGATTTCCTCTTTCCATTCCAGGCTTCTGGAGTATTCATGTCCACATGGATAGACTTCAGTGGTCCAGGGAGAGGGATCTGATGATGAAACTGAATGGACTTGGAAAAACTTTGAGATATCAATTGATTATCTCTCAAAATGATCTTTCACAGATGCTTAAAATGTGACTTAAGTAAAGACAAGCAAAAGTAGTGCTGTGTTGGCCAAATTCACCAGATCACCATTTCAACTTTGAGACACGGCTATTGCTTTTGTTTCACTAAAAATAACTGGTTCATTAGAGGCATGTTTATGAATCGGGCTACATTGGTTGCACTGTATGCTTCTGATTCACTAAAAAGAACCTGTTCATTAGAGGCATTTGTTTGTGAATCAGGCTACATTGGTTGCACTGTACACTGTAAAAAAACTTTTACATTCGTAGTGCACTTACTCTTAAACCAAAAAGCAAATTCATATTGCTGTGGAGACACTAACGCATGCACTTCTGCCAGAGACAATAGTGATTAACTCTGCGAGTGTGTAACTTGAGCACGTTTGGTAAAAGTGTTGGGTCTTGGATTGGGACAAGTCTGGGCTTGGATTTCCTCTTTCCATTCCAGGCTTCTGGAGTATTCATGTCCACATGGATAGACTTCAGTGGTCCAGGGAGAGGGATCTGATGATGAAACTGAATGGACTTGGAAAAACTTTGAGATATCAATTGATTATCTCTCAAAATGATCTTTCACAGATGCTTAAAATGTGACTTAAGTAAAGACAAGCAAAAGTAGTGCTGTGTTGGCCAAATTCACCAGATCACCATTTCAACTTTGAGACACAGCTATTGCTTTTGTTTCACTAAAAATAACTGGTTCATTAGAGGCATGTTTATGAATCGGGCTACATTGGTTGCACTGTATGCTTCTGATTCACTAAAAAGAACCTGTTCATTAGAGGCATTTGTTTGTGAATCAGGCTACATTGGTTGCACTGTACACTGTAAAAAAAAATTCCTTAATACAGTAACAACGTTTTAGGTTTTACGGTTTTAACTTAAATTTACAGTTAAATACCGTAATTTCATTAACTGATATAATGTTAATATACCAACCTATTGAAGTACTGAAATCTGTTTTGTATCTTTGTAATACACTGATAACCACCAAATGCAGGTGGTGATGAGAAAGTCACATGATGAACCAAAGCCCATCACAATAGAAGGTGCACAGTGTCATTCACACAAACACCATCATGGTAACACACATGAAACTGAAATAATGCAATAAACATTCATTTAACAACATTAGGTGTAACACAATATACAAAACTGATAAGAAAAAACTAAGAAGAAACATAGTTATTTCAACAACAAAAACATCAAGTTTGAAATGTAACGCAGGGAATTCTGGGAATGTCAATTTACGGTTATTCACTAAATTATAGTCTTTTTCACTTCCAAAAACGGTATACTACCATAAAATTAATGTCCAATACATGGAATGTCCAATACAGTTTTTCACTGTGTATATAGTAGGGGAATTTACCGTTAACCATTTAACAGGATTTTACTGTAGCATTTTTACAGTCTTTTACCGTTAAATTCACGGTCATTTTTTAGTGTATGCTTCTGATTCACTATAAAGAACCTGTTCATTAGAGTCATTTGTATATGAATCAGGCTACATTATTTATACGCTATGCTTCTGATTCACTAAAAATAACCATTCATAAGTCATTTGTTTGTGAATCAGGCTACATAGTTTACACTGTATGCTTCTGATTCACTAAAAACCTGTCCATTAGAGTCATTTGTTCATAAATCAGGCTATATTTGTTGCACTGTATGCTTTTGATTCACTAACAAAAAACGTGTTCTCGAGTCATTTGTTCGTGAATTGTTCTACAATGTTTTGTCACTAAAAAGAACATGCTAGTCAGGCTACATTGGTTGCACTGTAAACTTTTGATTCACTAAAAAGGACCTGTTCATGAGAGTCATTTGTTTGTGAATCATACCACACTGAATGTGCTTGGTTTTTATTTCACTAAAAATAACTAGTTCATAAGCAATTTGTTTGTGAATCAGATACTGGCTGTGCTGTATGCATTTCATTTACTAAAAAGAACCTGTCACAAATCACATTTATTTGTGAGTGATTGTACTATATGTTTTTTATTTACTAAAATTACCTGTTCATAAGTCATTTGTTCATGAATCATACAATATTGGTTGAACTATGTTTTTGTTTTACTAAAAAGAACCAGTTCAGAGAAGACACTAGAATTAACCCTAAAGTACACCATTTTATGTTGTGTTTAATCAACTCCTCTAATAAATAAGGCACTAATTTATTGCACAGATTGATTTAAAGAGCATTTTAATGTTTCATGTGATCAAGCTGTGATGGTAACCCAGTTTAGGATCCAGCATACCGAACTATTTGCTTATTTTCCCTCGAGAGAGAGAGAGAGAATAAAAACACACACCACAAGACTTCTTTCAATCAACTTTTCAATAACAATTTTCTTTATAACTATTCCAAGAATACGTAGATAGTTCCATGACATTAAATTCACTTATGATCTGTAAAAGAGTACTTTTAAATCAGTCTGCAATTTATTACACTTTTATGATATTAGTGCACCGCATTCAAAATCATATTGAAGTATCTAAAACAATGTGTTTCATATTCAAAGGCAACAGGTAAATTCTTTTGATTTCTGCACTTCAATAACATGTAAACAATTCTGGAATTTCAGCATCTTCTTCAATATATGATGTTTGCATAAAGATGCAGCTTCAGTAACCTGAATGGAATAGCACAACGATAACTTAAGTCCAATGCAACAAATGCATTTATATTTATTTCTACACTAATCAAATGTTTTTTGCAGCTCTGATAAGAGGTAAACAGCATTTGCATTGAACAATAAAGCCAAGTGTGCATCTTCATTTTCCAGAGAATTGCATAACATTTTTTTTTCCCATCTCATGTTGCATTTATATAAACGAAAAAGAAAAATAGTTTTCAGTATAAAAGATTTGGCAATATAATTTTCCTCCATTATCAAAAAATAAAAAATAAATTTAAATGTGGGCCAAACGTACAGACAGAGAAATGTCATTGCAATCTCTCTGGGTGAGCTGGTGAATGCTGGGAGATGTTTGTACAGAGCGACTGTCCCTCTCTTTGGTGCCTCAGTCTCTAAATATGAATATTATTGGTTTCTGCAGGAATAAAAGCGTCTTTGGTGGTCCCGTTCAGCTAAAAGCACCTTGAGAGATTAGGAAAAGTCAACATTTCCATTTCCTTCAGCATCGGTCCTTTGAGACTGCAAGAATGACTCCCATACAGCCAAACACTGCAAGAGAACACAGACACACTTATATAAAAAAAAGCCATTGGAAGTAATGTAATAAATATAATACATGTAATATAATAAATCATTTAAATAAATAAATAATTATATATATATCTAAATTATACAATATATATTTAAAAATATAATCATTTTAAAATATACATTTAAATATTTTATATACTAATAATACTGTAACTACTACAACTATGAAAATATACATTATAATTATAACACATAAATATTATAAATTAATAACAGACACCAATATTCAATAAATAACACCTTAAATAATTAAAATATATTAATATACAAGTATCATAAATAATTAAAATAATACTACATATAAATATACAACTAGCATAAATAACTATAAATTAAATGATATTTATTGATATAAATAGTATAATATATCAATTATACAAAATTATAATAATTATAATCTGAATTAGACAGACAGATATGCACAATTCGATTTGGACTGATTAGATTAAGATTCTATATAATAAAAAATATTGATATTAAATTATTATAAATAAGTTGTTAATAATAATCACTAGATTTTTATTTTATTTCAATGTATTTTTCAAAGCAAATGTGAGTGCAACACTATCCATATGCACCCATCTAAACCTTTAAGTGATACTTAATGAACATTCTCACATCAGTAAAATCTCTTGACTGCAGTGAAATGGCTAGCCGTTTAAAAGGCGTTAACCATGAGGCCTGACAAGTGGCTGCCATTTGGTTTCCAATTTCATCCACAAGCTGCGGTCGCTCCTCATCCTGCGTGCCATTTAGGTGTCAAGATTCTAAGCCCTTGATAAATGCCTTGGGGACTCGTCAGTCGCAGCCCAGGCCCCTAAACACCTCAACAACACCCCTCGGCCCAAACAGCTCAGATGCCACATGCGAGCGAGTTTCATAGCAGAACCTCTGGAGGCGCGTCAGCTGCGGCTCACCGACTGTCAAAAACAGTTAATCAATGCACTCCATCACCACAGGATTCAGACGTGACCTCGGTAAACGACTTTGGACAGGCAGTGTCTGAGGCCGCTGGACCAGAGTCGCCCTCTCAGGAAGGAGTAGACATCTGTGTCGATTAGGTTTAAGATATTGATTCAACTGCAGCCGGTTAAAACGGCGGTCACTTTTTAGTGTGCCATTCACTTTTCACTTTTATTCAAATAAATGCAGGATTGTATATGCAAAGAATGATAAAGTTTGGAGAAATCTGCACTGCGAATTCATAGAGCAAAAGACCAACAAAGAATGAAACATTGTTAAATGCAAGTAATAGTGATTTTCACCATGGTTACCGGGTGGTAAGCATGACGCAAAGCCGAATTGCTTTAAAACGGATCAACATTCAAAACAATAACATAAAAAAAAAAAAAAAATCAGCATTCAACATTTTTTAAATATTGTTAACTATATACCTTAATTATAATTAAATTAAATATATAAATATTATAACTTAACTATAATTAAAAACAGACACCGACATTCAATAAATAACACACCAATGTTCCATAATTACGATATATTAATATACAAGCATTATGAATGAATGAAAATACTAGTACATTTATTATAAATATATGAAACTACAACATAAAATAGTTAAATAGTTTAAATTACAAAAATGTAAATTATTTTAATAAATATAATCAAAGTTATAGTATAATATTAATGTAATTAATGACATTATAATTAATAACAGACACTAACGTTCGATAAATAATTAAAAAAATATATCAGAATTAGTATAATTTAAAAATATATATATAATCTATAATTATATAATATATATTAGGTATTAAATATAATTATGAAATATATTAATATTATAATTAATAAGACACTAACATTCAATACTTAAAATATTAATATAAAAATAATATAAATAATTTGAATAATAAATATCTTATAATTAGTACAATTACTGTACTAAATGTATAATTATATTACTACACCCCAAAAAAAAATATTTTAATTTTTTTATTTGTAATTTAATGTATATATTATAATTAAATTACAATTAATAAATAAAATGGCATAATTTACATTTTTGGGTAGTATCCCTTTTAAGTACATTTGACCCTTCTAGCACAACTTGGTCAAATGAGGACAAGAAAAATGAAAATGAATCAGGTGGAAAATGCATTTTTCTGATCTCGGCAGAGAATGACTTGTCTGCAATTTCCCCATTTGTCGTGAGAAAATTACTTCAGCTGAGAAAACCGTAAATGTGGAAGTGCAAGGGGAAAAAAAAGAACAGGGAACAAAGAAAAGCTGAATACAACTACCTTTTAAGAATATGTTCTTTAAGCCTCAGAATCAGCAACAAAAGCTGTATTTGCAATGCACATGAGGACACGGACTATAATAAAACAAAGGCACAATACAAACCTATGTGACTATTCCAGATCACTGACTGATTGAGAAACACTGAAGAAAAGAGTTTGTTGACCAGGCTTGAACGTTGACAGTACCTATTTCAGTAGTCTAGAGAGCAACACGTCCCTGTCTGACACATGCTTACTCTGTAATGGCTCTTGTGTTGCTGGGAGGGTCATTAGCGTGCCACGAGCTCTGATGCTAGTCCAAACGCGCTCAGCCAAATGTGGCGCTAATCAGCCAGCGATGCATGAATAATAACAATCATCAACACGGACACACCTGAGACGTAACTGCACGGATCAGACGGCAAACAACACTTCTGTTTCAGCTACACAGGAGGAGAGAGACGCGGTCGAAGGGCTGGAGATATGAATTTTCAGTTGCATCAGCTGTTGCTTTAACTCTGGTAACAAGAGGAATGTTTCTGCGGTCTGTGTTTGAAAACCCTGTGAAGGCTCTGTGCTGGCTGAATTATATCGAACATTTAGTGACAGCTTCCTCATCTTTGCTATCATTTCAGCTACAGTCTTGTTGCTATGGCATCTCCGTGGCAATTCTCTGAAATTGCCATGTTGCAGTACATGGCTGCTGTGGGTTTTTTTTTTGTACTAAACTGCATGCAAATGTTGAACATCCACCCACACCAGTATGCAGGGTTACATTGTTCCTTATATTAGAGCTTGCATTGTTAAAGCTTAATGATGTGTTCAGGGAGGTGAGGTCAAACAAACGTCTTTATGAAAGGAAAAAAAATCAAGATGTGAAAATGAATAATAAATAATATTATAGAGTAATGCACAGTGCTGTTTAGATCTGGAAGCTGATATTAATTTATTCAAATGTATTTTATATATAAATTGCATTAAATATAAAAGAATAATAATAAACATAACAATATAAATTATAATTAAACATTACAATTTAATACAAATAATTCTAATTCATAATAATTAAACATTCTTTTGTGTTCCACAGAAGAAAAAGTCACAGTAGTGTAATTATTATTACACGGTAGTGCACCATTTAGACCTGGAAAAAAACACAATGATTCAGAAATTATTTTTTTTATAAGTCACAGAGCGACTCTAAACTAACTCCAACCAATGCACACATACACACACACAAACTTTTTCGCAACAAATTATATTAGCAGCATAACAATGAGCTCCACAAGTTATTTTAAATGTAGTAATTTTGCTTTAAAGGAAAAAGCAGTTTACAATTAACTTTAATTTATGCAAACAATATTTTATTTAGACTGTTACCTGTAACTATTACTCTTGAATGCAAAATGGTATAATGCCGTGGAGCCACTCTTTGGAGACCCAACCAATCTAGTCCCATATAGCCTACTTATAAATACTAAGTACTGATGAACTGATAAGAAAAGTGTAAATATTTGTTTAAGAAACACAAAAATCTACGACAATCTTAAAATTGTCAAATATTACCTGCATTTGACTTAAAGAGAATGTAAGGAAACCAAAAACACACGACCACATTTTCTAGCCTGGATCTTCTCATGTTAACAGATATCCCCACAGATCAATGCTGGAGAAGTTCTCTTACATGCATTCATTTTCTCATTCATCCACCATCTCTCTCGTTTTTTCTACCGTTTTTCGCACTTTATTCTCTTTTAGGTCAGTGTTTGATGCTGTTAGGCTCTTCCTTCCACGTTAAATAAAAATGCCTCTTTGCCTGGAGGTTACATAAAAACCCTACAGGGCCCTGTGAACATATTTATTTCTATTTCTTGCTTTTCAGTTTTCAATTTCAGTTTAGTTTTAGTCAGTTTTAATTGTGCCCAAATAGCTTTATTTCAGCACACGATGGCACGCATTTTATCAGAAACTGCACCATACTCCAAATAATGCCATCGAAGTATAAGGTGTAAGCTTTATTTGTGAAACACCATACTGCAGCACTTGTGGACAATAAAATGGGCTATAAATGTGGCGCTGCTGCTGCTGAATCTAACAGTACATTTTTGTTACCATTATTCTGATTTCTCGAAGGCATTTATGATTCAGCAGCATAGACAGCATCCACTAGTTGCTGGAGTAACCATAATTTAGACAGTTTATGGCATAGCATTTCTGAAATATATTTAAGAGTTTTATTTGAAGCCATTTGGATCAAGTACACTGAAAAAAAGGGTTTTTAGTAGAAAAACTTGAAACTAGTGTTTTTCCCTTGATGCCTCACCAAAGCCAATCACCAGCACTTGATTTAGGCACATCAAGCATGCTGCATGCTTATTGGCTCACTGACATTGACAAGATTAACCCCTTAGGTATCGAAATTTGGTACCGAATGACGAGACATTTTTCGATACTCGATGGTATCGAGGCAATCCGGTCGGTGCCTAAAAAGTATCAAACACGATACCCAGCCCTAATTCTGACTTACGTTTCACTGCTAGTTTTTGTCTTGGTGACAGTTTCTGTCTGTAGTCAAAAGTACTTTGGAACTGCAGCTTGTCAAACTACTCATTTAGAGCAGCTTCCCCAACACTGGTGTGAATAACAGTTCTAGTGCAGCACTGTTTACTTTTGAGTCTGCTCGCATCTGAAAAATCCCGTTAGATGTCTCCTCAACCTCTCTAGAGACCAAACAGAGAGTTTGTCATATTCGTTATCGCTATAAACCCATGACTGAAAAGCAAAGGAAGAGAGCTTTCAAAAAAGACAAATTAAGCAGTGTACCGGCTTAAACGCAGCCAATCTAGTGAGCAATGTCAACATTTACAGACTTGGAATGCAATTACTTGTCAGCGGGGATAAAAATGAGATACTACCACCCTCTGCTGGCACATATCCAGGGCGGCTGTGCAAATGAATGCAGGCAGATGGCCACATGCATCTCTCTAAAATCTGTTGGCGGTTTGTCCAAGTCTTCAACAGGAATCATTTTTACCACCTCATAGCTATGAATGCTTATCTCTCATCTGAAATCTTCTCAATTACATCACTATTTTAAAGCTTGATCAAATTTAAAGTAGTAACTGATGACCTCAAGTGGCTTATTGCTTTTATAAAAAGGCGACAAGATTACAAAAAGACACAAAGTGAATATTAATCAGAAAACATCTCACCTTTTCATAGTAGCTGACGTTCCTCTCTGCTGTGTCGATGAAGGCTGATCGTAGGTCAGTTCTCATGCCCTTTTGCCAGCGGGTCCAGTCGCTCTTGAGTGCATTATTCGCCCACTCCAGCCGGTCCTCCGTCTTATCCAGCTCATCTCTCATCTGAACACACAAGGATTGGTTGGTTAGCATGGTCCAGTTAGCCTCTGTTGGTAGATGTCATAACTAGACCATCTGGGAACCAAACAGCTTCTTTCTCTATTGAAGGCCATTCACAAGTAGCCAAGTATTCAGATAAGTGTTATTTAGAAATATTTTTAAGATGGAATAATGCAGTCAAGTTAAGACAGTTTCTGAATTTAGTAGTAGGAAGTTAGTCATCCAATTTTTAATATCAACTATGCATTCCGTTTTGTGAATTGGTATGTTTCATCAGGCCTCAAAGAAATATAGAGCTGACTATTGTCAGTGTAACAAGTTTCAAGTTTCTCAATGATATCATTAAGAAATGCAACGGTCCTAATACTGAGCCTTGCGGAACTACATACTGAACTTGTGGTCAATAAGACACCTCTTCATTTACTGACAGAAAGTGATAACAGTCAGATAAGTACGATTTGAACCATGCCAATGCAATTCACCTTATGCCAGCATTATTTTCAAGCTTATCCAAAAGATTATTGTGGTCGGTAGTATCAAAGTCAGCACAAAGGTCCAGTAACAATAACAAAGAGATACAACCACAATCAGATGATAAGAGCAAGTGAGCTGCCTTATGATGTTCTTTTGAACTATCTATTCAAAGAATCAGGAAAAAAATCAACAAAAATATTAAGCAGCAGAACTGTTTTCAACATTGATAATAAGAAATACAATAAAAGGTTGTCATTATTCAGTCTGTTTATATATTGAAAATCTGTTATTTAGTCTACTGAAAGGGCTGCATTTAACATATATTGCTAAGAAACCTAATCTAATTCTAATCTATTCTAAATCTAATCGGGTCTGGTGGTCACAACCCTAAACCTGCCTAATTGTACAGGATTTCCTTGTTGTTGCAACTGGCCCTGATCTCCAAGAAAGTAATAACACACCTCTCCTCAACAAGCCACTTGATTTGAGGCTTCATTCATGTCTGTAGCACAAAGTGGAGGGACAAGTCTGAAAAAGGTGGCACATGCACCACACCTTGATTCCGTAAGAAAAAGCCTACTATACTAACTTGCTCAGCAGAGTGAGATATTAGGCAGTTATCCACTCAAAATTGCCACAGCATGTTAAGACAGCGTTTTAGGGAGCGTAGATGTTGACATCACACACCACAGCATTCAAACGTAAATCCACATGCTGGCCTAAACTAAGCAAAAAATGTGTGAAACAAAGACAAGGCGACAACACACCCTTATATTAAGGTGTGCTCGCTTCAGAAAAACCATGTCAAAAGAACCCTTGAGTAGATAAAGCCAGAAGAAGTTAGTCAGGCCAAGCCCAAGCACTTAGGGGGGATTTATTACCTCCTTAATCTCGCCCTTAAGTTTCTGCTGTTTCTGTTGTTTGACCTCCTCGGGGGATCGTCCCACCAAGCTGCCCCATGCTAAACTCAGCACCTTAGAGTCCTTCAGTAGACACATGAGCAATGGACACATGAATATGAACACATCTGGACTTGAAGTCACAAAACCCGTTTACTGTGGGAATAACATATCACACTATGGAATTTCAGAAAGGCTATATTGGGTTTATAATGGATACTGGTTAAACCCCTGCAAGCCATCAACTACTTCTTTTTTTTTTTTTACATTACATTGCACAAGTAGCTTTACACTCCAGCAAACAGAAGCAATAATCAAACGCCCCCACCTAGAATGACATTTGAATGAATCGCTTCTTTTGTGTAAATGAACTGGTTCAGAAAAACTACTCACAGGGTATTTTTATTGGTGCTTTAGGTCTGTTGTAGCAAAATGTTAAATGCTGCTAATCGTCACTGTTTAGTTTAAACGTCTCATTTTACTGCAATTATAAATATCTGACGGTTATATATTTAAAAAGACATTCAAAGTACTGAAAATAGTCTAAACATTTAAATAATAATGATGATAATAATAATAATAAGTCATGTTTAAAAAAGTAATATTTAAAATTCTCATAATAAAAAAGTCAATTTAAAATGAAATCTTCAGGTTTACACATATAAAATCACTAATGATGAGCAGAAAAATAGAGTGAAATATTTAAATAAAATGAAAATCAAATATTAATATAGCAAATATTTTCCACATAATATTTTATATACAATTTTACACTTTTTATTATTACACTTTCTGCAGCTAACTACTTTTTTTTAATTTTTTAACCGTAGTCTGTCATTTAACTAGTTTAAAATTAACTTGTATCTTGACCAAAGTACAATTTTAGAGTAAGTTCCCCAACATTGCTCACTACTACTTTTCTATTGTTTAGTAGTAGTAGTTTTATGCAAATTTTATACAACGATCCAAAGCAGAATGTGGACACATGCGCTTTTGCATAAGGACCATATTCAAATTAATTATATGGCTTATCGTTTCTTCTACACTCTGTGAGTGAGTGAATCTGGAGCATATAGTTCTTTGGTTAAAAAAAAAATAAATCAGGCCATCGGGGATACCTTCTCATTTTGGAAATGGCCTTATGTAGTAAGCAGCATAAGTCAGCAGGGACCGCGCTCAATCAAAGCACGTAATTAAATTGACAAGAGAGCCGAGATGCTGCTAAGCTTCTCTGGACACCATCGGTACTTTGTCCATTAATGCCCTTTCAGAGCGTTCAAGCGTCCTGCCCCTGATATTTGATTGAATTGACAAAAATAAACTCAAAAAGCCAAAGAGACTTAAATATGGCAATATTAGCTTGGGCAATATGAGTAATATTTGAAAGCGTCCCACTTCAAGAGCGGTCTGGCTTTAAGGGACATCTACAGCGATCTGGAGATAGTCGTATAATCTCTCCAAATTCCTTTTACAGCTTAAAATGGAGCGCTGTCTAATGAAAGCCAGGACGACAGCTAGAGCTCGGTTTTAATAAAAAATCTCCAAGAATTTTCACAGGAGCACTGGATGGATTACGTGGAGAACTGAAAGAGTCAATAATAGACCTACCGCGTCCCTATCGGCCTTCTTCGTGGCAAGAGCTTCAGTTTTCGCTTCGAAATCTGCCTGGATGTTGTCTCGCCTCCTTAGTACTGCCTGAAAACCCATGATCGATACTCAGAAAATACGAAAATTGTGATCAATATATTTTAATGAAATTTAAGGCTGGATGAAATCTGCAATAAGTCTCGGAAAAACAATGCGGCTGCATCAAGGTTTATATCAGACGGATGAAATGCAGCAAACATCATATCAATTCAAACATGATTTTTAAACTAGCAGGTCATTTGCCTCGAACTAAATAGAACAGAACATTTTATTTAACCAAAACAAATAAATAACATCCTACACTTAAAGGGATAGTTCACTTTAACATGAATATTTTGATGCCATTTACTCACCCTCACGTCTTTCGGAACCATATGTCTTATGTTTTTACAGAACACAAAAAATATTAGTAAAATAAGATATCTTGAAGAACGTTCAAATAAATTCATACAGTACCGTTCAGGTTTTTTTTTTTTTTTTTTTTGAATGAAGCCTCTTAAGACTCACAAAGTCTGCATTTATTTGATCAAAAATACAGTAAAACATTAAATTATAGTAAAACAACTAAAATTATTACAAATTTAAAATAACAGTATTCTATTTGAATATATTCTAAGACTTAATTTATTCCCGTGATCCAAAGCTGAATTTTCAGCATCATTATTCCAGTCTTCAGTGTCATATCTCTAAATATTTCTTATTATCAACATTGAAAACGGTTGTTCTGCTTAACATTTTTGTTGAAACGGCGATTCATTTTTTTTATGATTCTTTGATGGATAGAAAGTTCAACATAACTGCATTTGAAATAAAAACCTTTTGTAACACTATAAATGTCTCTACCATCACTCTTGATCAATTTAATGCATCCTTGCTAAATAATAGAATTAAAAAACCTTAATATCATCTTTTTTTGTTATGCAAACGAAAGAGAGTCATACAGGTTTGGAATGATATAAAAGTGAGTAAATGATGACTAAATTAGAATTTTAAGGTGAACTATCCCTTTATGAAAGACATAACAGGAGCATCTTCTCAGCTGGTCTACCTTGAGTGTGTCGGCGCAGAGGACGTACTCATGAAGGACCGGAATCAGGTGATCATTGAGATGTTTGACCTGCTCATCTGTCTCCTTGCAGCATTTGTCCACACAGCCTGCCACGTTCTTCAGGGGCTCGGCCAGCTCCTCCTCTGATTGTGACCACAGCGCGTATGTCGGCCCACACTCCTTCAGCTCCTCCAAGTACTCTGTGACCACAACAGCAGCTGGTTTAAGCAGCATTCCCATAATTATAGCAGCTATAGCCCATACAAATGTTTCCTAAGTGTCAGCCAATTACATAAGAAAAAGAGGAGATGGGACCAGATGAGGAGATAAAAGATGAGACTAGATGACAAAAGAGATGAGAATTCATTGAAAGGTGTGTGAATGAGTCAGAAAGTCCAACCTTTCTGCTCTCTGACGATCCTTTGAGTAACTTTATCAATTGAGCTGATCTTCTGACTGAAGGCCTCCACATACTCCTGCATGTCGGTGAACTCTTGAGGCCGGCTTCTGACCCCTCTTACTGCAGCAGCCACGGCTTTCACCGTCTCCCCCATCCGGCTCAGAAACCCTGGACCTTGTTTCTTATGAGAGGTCAACTCCTGCACAGAGAATCGGTGGAATGGTGTATGATGTTGCTGAAGGGTGACAACAGCAAAATAAACCACATCTCCACTGTTTTACTCAGCAAAAGCCTGTAATGGCTGAAAATGTGTGCATATTTTCATGGTTGGTCAGTAATGGCAACACCAGTGCAAGTAGCTGATAAAACTGTATGCGTATCATAGCAGCCTACGAAGTGTCAAATATCCATAACCGCAAAACTTCCTTTATTATGACTGAAGGGAAGTGAGGAGCTCTTTATGAAGTACTTATATTAGAGGTCACCGAGTCGGATCTAAACACAGAGACTGTCACACTATCTGCGTGCATTCAACATAAACCTCTTGTAAAGCAAAACTGAGATTGCATATTGTGAACAAACAGAAGGTCAGTGATTATCAGAGTAATGTGGGACTGTGTGTGTGTACAGACAGGTTTTAATGTCCTTATTAGGAAGAAAACAATGTCTCTGGCAGACAAGCAAAACCTTCCAGAGGAACATCAACACAAAAAAAAAAAAAAAAAAAGGTAATTATAACATAGCACTGCTGTGGTTGCTAAGATGATCTGAGTGGTTGCTGGGTGATCACTTACCAGCCCAGGTCAAAAAAGCCCTTAATGTGTATGATATTTTGGTTTCTAGATATGGTTTGGGATGAGTTATGCATCAGAGTTTAATATTTGAACATTTATACAGTTATATATATATAAATAAAACTTAAACTTGACCCCCTAACACTAGCGTTCTCAATTTTTTTCCTATTCTATCAACTTTTATAAATGCATAAACAAATACATAAACAAAAAAATAATTAAATAGTAGATAAATAACTAAAATAACTAAAACATGTGATAGATAGATAGATAGATAGATAGATAGATAGATGGATGAATACATATAAAAATGAATAAATAAAATGTATCAATAGTATAAAAATAGATACATAGATAACTAAATAAAATAAAAAAATTATAAAAATGTGTAAATAAATTGTATTAAATGGATACAAAAAGATAGATAGATAGATAGATAGATAGATAGATAGATAGATAGATAGATAGATAGATAGATAGATAGATAGCTGAATGAACGAATGAATAAATATAAAAAATTTATAAATAAATTGTATAAAAATAAAAACATAGATAAATAAAAAAATAATAAATAAATTGTATTAAATGTATAAAAAAAAATGTAGATAACTGAATTAATAAATGAATGAATGGATCGTATAGAATGTATAAAAATAGATAAACGGATAACTAAATAAAAATCATTCATCTTACCCCAGATCCTGCTGTGAGAAAGATCTTAAAATCTTCACTGCTGGAGAAAATGGGATGTTCTGCTATTTTGTTCAGAAACTTGTGCAGTGCACTTCTCCTCGTCTCAATGAAATCTTCGTTAAACCTCTCCACCATTCCTTTCATCACAAACTTCTCCGGCAGCGGCTGATGGGACACAATAATCAAGTCAACGGTTTATGAGAGTTTTAGCACACCGCAACCACACACATTTTTAAACGGACTAGACCTTTAATTATTTTGAAAGGGGAGTGAAATTACTTATGGCATTAGTAGAAGTTAAAAAAACAAAAAAAACAACAACTTTACAAGCATATCTGCATGGAAAAGTGAATATTTAGACTCTCCTTAAAACCTTATCCCATAAACCTCCATACTAACTGTGTTCATTCCCCAGAATGTTTGACAAGCAGGAGACCCCCACACATCACCTACATGAACAATGAGTGTGGGATGAGCTTCTTCCAGACGTCCCTTTAACCACAGGAAGTCCTGGTATCGTCTACGCACCTCAAACTCACTCGAGTCGAACTCGCTCCGTGTGGTCTGACGTGAGGGAGAATGATGGAAAAATATGAGAGAATTATTCACAGAACCTGCCTTAGTGAGTTTGTGCTCAGATCGGCTGTACCTTAGTTTCAACCCGGTAGGTTATGTATGTCTCAATAGCTGTTACGTGACTCTCTGGGTTATCGACTGTGACAAAAATATCTTTGGTGTCAGCATCTTCCTCTTCTTCCTCAAACTTGTACTGGTTGATCATTGAAGCAGAGGAGGTCTGCATGGAGGCGTTTAAAGAGCTGCCATCTGTTAGAGTCGTATCCTACACAAAATACAAAATGTGCATCAGGACACGTGAGAGGCCATCAACACTAAACTGCACGAGTGTTCAGACATCAAGCACTTTATGTGTTTTCAACCAACTGGATGTGGATTGGCTTACAACAACATTTTCTCTCGGTTTACAGCGATTAATTACTATGGTACAATGCTCATAAAAATAGTAATACCCTGGTATTCTTTAAAATACCTTGGAGAACCAAGGTAAAAGCAACAAAACAAATTACAAAACTAAGTTTGGGGTCGTAAGATTTCTTTTTAAATAAGTGTCTTATGCTCACCAACTCTGCAATTATTTAATAAAAAAAATACAGTAAAACTCTAACGTTGTGAAATGTTATTCTAATTTAAAAAAACATAAAAATAGTAATACCCTGGTATTCTTTAAAATACCTTGGAGAACCAAGGTAAAAGCAACAAAACAAATATATAAATAACTAAGTTTGGGGTTGTAAGATTTCTTTTTAAATAAGTGTCTTATGCTCACCAACTCTGCAATTATTTAATAAAAAAAATACAGTAAAACTCTAACGTTGTGAAATGTTATTCTAATTTAAAATAACTGTTTTATATTTTGATATATTTAATTTATTTCTGTGATGACAAAGCTGAATTTTCAGCATCATTACTCCAGTCTTCTGTGTCACATGATGATCATTCTAATATGCTGATTTGCTGTTCGGGAAACATTTTTATTATTATCTATATTAATATCCCAAAAAATATCTGCTTCTTGAGCTTAAAAAAAAAAAGAAGAAATTGTTGCTTCAAGGCTCTTTTGATATTTATATTTAGACCCATATGAACTTATCTTAAACTTTCATAGTATATTTATTCAACCTAAAAAAATAAACTGTTCTGCTGTTGTTACTAAGCCACATAACCACAGTATCATGCCATAACAGTGTATCATTATAACTGGACGTAATATTGCCATGCACTTGATTTGAAAGCTGTGTTTGTGTTTTGATCACAGTGAGAGACAAACATCTGATTTTCCTACTGTCTTGCTATCTTTTCCTGGTCCAAACACTGACGCATGCAAATCCCTCTCGTTTAGCCGCAGCTGCTGGGAAAGAAGCCGGAGCGTCTGTTTCCTGTCATAACAAACTGGCCTGTAGTCAGCACAAACTACACTGCTGCTTTACCCAACAAACACTGCACTTCCATTCATAACCATTCACTGCTGATACTGACTACAACACCGACCAGAGAGTTAGACAGGAGTATAAACACTCCAACTACAAATTAAAGACTGACAAAGCCTATCTGAACGTTTGAAACAGTTTAGGGTGTTCTAACTGCTTGCTGAGAACTGTTAGGGTGTTCTGCCTAGTTGTTAGGGTGTTCTAACTGTTGATAGTTGTTGCTAGGGTGTTCTAACTGTTGCTAGGCGTTGCTAGGGTGTTCTAACTGCTTGCGGAGAACTGTTAGGGTGTTCTGCCCAGTTGCTAAGGTGTTCTAATTGTTGACAGTTGTTGCTAGGGTGTTCTAACTGTTGCTAGGCGTTGCTAGGGTGTTCTAACTGCTTGCGGAGAACTGTTAGGGTGTTCTGCCCAGTTGCTAAGGTGTTCTAATTGTTGACAGTTGTTGCTAGGGTGTTCTAACTGTTGCTAGGCGTTGCTAGGGTGTTCTAACTGCTTGCGGAGAACTGTTAGGGTGTTCTGCCCAGTTGCTAAGGTGTTCTAATTGTTGACAGTTGTTGCTAGGGTGTTCTAACTGTTGCTAGGCGTTGCTAGGGTGTTCTAACTGTTTGCTGAGAACCGTTAGGGTGTTCTGCCAAGTTGCTAGGGTGTTCTAATTGTTGATAGGCATTGCTAGGGTGTTCTAACTGCTTGCTGAGAACTGTGAGGGCGTTCTGCCCAGTTGCTAGGGTGTTCAAACTGTTGCTAGGCATTGCTATGGTATTCTAACTGTTGCTAGAAGTTGGTAGGGTGTTCTAATTGTTGATAGGCATTGCTAGGGTGTTCTAACTGCTTGCTGAGAACTGTGAGGGCGTTCTGCCCAGTTGCTAGGGTGTTCAAACTGTTGCTAGGCATTGCTATGGTATTCTAACTGTTGCTAGAAGTTGGTAGGGTGTTCTAATTGTTGATAGGCATTGCTAGGGTGTTCTAACGGCTTGCTGAGAATTGTTAGGGTGTTCTGGCCAGTTGTTAGGGCGTTTTAACTGTTATTAGGTGTTGCTAGGGTGTTCTAACAGCTTGCTGGGAATTGTTAGGGTGTTCTGGCCAGTTGTTAGGGCGTTTTAACTGTTACTAGGTGTTGCTAGGGTGTTCTAACAGCTTGCTGGGAATTGTTAGTGCGTTCTGCCTAGTTTCTATGGTGTTATGGCCAGTTATCAGGTTGTTCTAACTGTTACTAGGCATTACTAGGGTGTTCTAACTGTTGTCAGATATTGCTAGGGTTGTTGTAACTGCTTGCTGGGAATTGTTAGGGTATTTTGCCTAGTTGGCAGGCTGTTAGTGCACTACAGACCGTCGACAGAGAGACAGACAGATCCATACATTATGTCCGCGACAGTAAGACAGACAGATAAACTCACAGGCTGCATCTGTACTGAGCTGATCGATGAGTTCTGGCTATTTAAAACTACTTATCTTGCATCAAATGGCGTTTAAGACGAAGTCTACAGAAAATAGAGAAAAAACTCAGAAGTGAAAAAAAAAAAATGGCATGACAGCGCCTGATCGCTGACCTTTGGAACTTCAGATCAGAGCAAAACAAAGATTTCAGTGAGAAGTTTAGATTTCTTCGTCATTTATGATGTAGAATATAAATATATAAACTCTGGTTATGTGTCTGTTTCACAGAACCGAGCGAACAACCTGCGGTCGATCTCGGTTGAAACCAGTTGATTATAAATTACGTTACCTTACTGAAAACTTCCAAGTCATCGTCTTCGTCTAGATCTAATATTTGCCCGCTGATGTCTGTCGGAATCGCAGCCGAAGAATTCCCCGATGACACGGTGTTGTCGACAACAGATCCACTCATCGTTGCTCAGATCGCTACTTTATTACAAGTTTTCTGGACTTCATCGGTTTTTCCGCACAACTCTCAAAAGCTCATCCGAGGCGGGTCAGGCTCAACTGCGCAGAATCGGAAAGGGCCGAGAGCTGAGCTCTGCGGGACGCCCACGTGAAGGAGTATGTTTAAGGTATTTGGCTTGTTGTTATGATCTTGCCTTTAAAGGTTATTCAATTTTGAAACGAAAATAAGTGTTTTACATCAAATGATAGTTTTTAAAGTTTAAAAGGTAGGCTTACACGTGTGTGTGTTGCATAATTCTTAATAAAACTGTATGATTATGGGTTTTGGAGTCCAGTTTGTAACCTAAGGTTACTAATATGTGTGTGTAAACTAACATTTACGTGATTTCAGTTGTGGCCATGTAGATATTTAACAGTTAATATCCAGTTTCATTTAATGTACTATTTATATAGGCTACTACAAATATATATATATGAAGAGTTCAGATGCAAAAGCCTCTGAAATGTTCTTCTAAAATGAGCATTTTTATCAGGCTCCTATATTTATGTTCAGTTATTTTACTTTAATTGCATAGAAAAGGACCTATCCATTGCCATTAGAGTAAAATTACTGAACCTAAACATAGGAGCCTGAGAAAAAAATGCTCATTTTAGACGAAATTGTCAGATGGCACTTAGAGGTTTTTGCATCTGAACTCTTCATATATAGTAAAGAGTATACAATCATGGTTTTAATATAATATTTCATTATAAATACTTTATACACTTTTAATCAATGTAGTGGCTCTAAACATAGGAGCCTGAGAAAAAAATGCTCATTTTAGACGAAATTGTCAGATGGCACTTAGAGGTTTTTGGCATCTGAACTCTTCATATATAGTAAAGAGTATACAATCATGGTTTTAATATAATATTTCATTATAAATACTTTATATACTTTTAATCAATGTAGTGGCCCAAGACTATATATTTAAGAACTGTGTCAGAGTCTTGCAGTATTAAATTAAATTCCCATTCATTCAAATCAATATGTAATGATCACCATCAGTTGTATGCCAGTTTGGGTTTCACTGGCACTGAATTCCTGCATGTCCTTTTCCAACCAGCAGATGCTACTGTTGCTCAATTTAAATGCCTTTGCAATTTGGCAGCGTTCATAATTAAGACTTCATATGACCGTGGCAATTACAATTCTATATAGCTGTGCAAACACTCAACTATTTTGCTGTGTGAGACTGTATTATGGGACAAAATTGGGCATAACTAATAAGATACTTATTAGGAAATATCTAATTGGGGACATGCCTGTCAGACTATATTAAATTTAAGAACTTATCATGAGACCGCTCTAGTCTTTAATATAAAATATTCTGCCACAGAATTCCTCATTAGTTGTCAGTTATTTCATTTATTTAATCAAATAAAGACCATCCCCTTGGATATAATGAATGTAGGACTTGATCATATTTCTTTGAATTAGGACTTCATCCATCATAAATTATAATGCTTTAAGTTCTTGAATTGAGTTTAATAGTGAAAATGGTACTAGATATCGCTTTTTATATATTTTACCTCCTTTTATTTATTATATTACATTATTCTGGTATGAAACTAAATCAAGAGCTCTCCTATAGCATGCATCAGGATAAAATAATACTGTTTGGAAGCTGACGCCCTTCCACATAAGGACTCCCTGACATGTTGCATATAAAGTATTAGAGTATCTGTAGAAAGGGCAGGCCTTACACATGCATGAACCAGGCAGCTGTAGCTCTAAACACAGAAAAGGTCAGCCCCACCCCGATCACATTAGCGTACTGTCATTTTATATCATTTGCTTTCATAACCGATTTAAAGCTGAAGCTATAGGACCCTTTTTTCTCATTTTCATTTGTGCCGATCAAAGACTTTCATAACCATGTCACAATCTCACGCCATATGATGTATGAATTGCTGTGAAACAATCTTTATTTAGCTGCTGCTGTGAGAATATTCAATCCAAGCTATTAATTAAAACAGTTTTTAATGTAAATGATAAATAGCCTGTTGCAAATTAATTTTTTAAGGCTGAATATAGGGAATGTGTTACGTAATATGCCACTGATATAACCTCATTAGATCAGATTCAGTGACTGGAGACCACACCCATTCTGATTTCCTAGTCATGGCTGTTGTCTGTTTTTAGCAAAGGTGCTGCTGTATATCTAAATCACATGGAGCTGTTTACTTCACAGAAAGCTCGTCTAACCATATATATAGTGTTTTGTGCGACTGTGTGATTGAAAGACATCCTGGCATCCTGCACAAATTTTTGGCATGGTCCCAAATCTGTCCTCTACCGACCTCCATCAATGGCAGATAATAATTACATCAGCATTACCCCACAACAGTGATACATAGATCAGCTCCTTTCAAATTACATTTCCTTCCTGTTGGGCCCATTAGCAATGTCGACTATTGTGGACAATGTCCACTATTGCCGTTGTTTCCGAGTGCATTTACTGGACCGTGCCGCAGAGAATTTCGACAGTTCTGTTGAAACCCCACTGGATGTCCCTCAGATGTAGAATAGGCTTGATTTGGGGAACCGCTTGCTAATCTGCAGTGTGTTTTGTGTGTTTTGGCAGGAGGAAAAAACCTTCACATAAAGCACACAAAACATCAAATAGAGAAGACTTGAGCCACCTGGAGCGAATGCAGAAGAAGACAATTAAAAATCAATTTACTGTCAAAAAAGCTTTGCTTTCTAATTAAATCTGCACACAGCCGAGTCTCTCTCGTTGCTGGCTGATGCACAGTTGCAAAGCACACATTTATTTATTTATTACCCCCCAGATGAGCGCAAAAGTTATTATCGCTTTTACGATATTCACTCTTTTTTTCGACTCGCTGTTTAAGACGACGTGATTATACCTTATTTCATATGGTTGTAATCAGGCTTCTAAATGCATTTTAAATGTGACTGCTGTTCAATAGGCCTAGCTACCAGGTGTCCAATCCAACAACTGCGCCGTCATGATCGCTCTCATTAGCAGCTAGTACATGTAATAATGGCTATTCATTATAAGGCACTTCTTTTTTTTTTCTTTTTGTGGCCAAGCAGCTGGACACTACTTTGTCTTTTAATTCATCTATTAAAATGCCTGTAGATGGTTCAGATTCCTCTGCAGATCTCCTTTAGAAAGATCTGCATGATATCAAAAAGGTTTTAATGGGTCTTTGAGGAATGCAAATAAATGGGATAGAGTTAAATGGATTTTTATTTTTCCCTATATGCTGCCGTTGACATTACCGCTCCGGATTTTTGCTAGTGAACTGAATGCGTTCTTGCAGTACCATCAGCCAATCAGAGTTGTTTAATGTAATTTTCCTGACTTAAAAATGCTGACAACTGAGCAATCATGAGCAACGATGGTCGCAAACATCTTGTGCCAGCCATAAAACTGCAATTGAGATGAACAGCAATGCCATTTCTCCAGCTACACTGAAACAAAAATTGGTGGTGAATACATTTTCACTCAGAAAATTGCTAGTAAATTTCACAAAGAAATGGCAAGTAACACAGTGAATTGACTGAAATAGCATTTTCTTGTGTACTGTTTTATTTACAACTTCGAAAAATCACTTTCCCAGTCTATTATAGACCTCCTGGATGGTGTTCGACGGAAGGCCGTTTCTAATTGCACTCAACAAAAGGTTTACTGCGCTTAAGAGCATGTAATCTGCGGATGTGTTTGGAGCCTTCTGAGATTTTTTATATTATTTTATTCACCAGAATTCTCTTTGAGTCAACAGGTGGATCCATAGCACTAAAAATGTCCAATTACACAGCACTTTTTTGGCTCCCTAAAGCACTTCTCATTTCTGACGTTGTTAGGCAGTAACCACACACATCCAGGGCTCTGGAGCATGTGCGGAACTCCATCACAGACTTAATGACTGCCGGTGGAGCCACAGCGCTGCCCTTCCCTTCTCCGAAATGTCCCACAATCACCTGCTTTAATGGCACAATCTAATTAAAATAATAATAATAATCTTGAACTTTCAGTATGTAGACCTCTAACCTGTGAAATCTAATTAAGTCTCAGTCACAAACAAACAAAAAAAGGCATTACTAATCAATCAGCCAGAAAGAAGATAAATTAGAGGAGGGGCACGTGAGATACAGGGCTGAGAGGGGGAGATAAGCAGAGGTGAAAACAAGCGCAAGTGCATTCTGCACAATTCTAAATCACAGCGGCGAACACATGCCGAGCAAAAGGTGCGGCCACTTCTCAATGCGTTCATTGTTCTTGCCCCTTTTTAAATTAATGTAAAGTCTAGTATTTTAAGGGACCCCTAATGTAATAAAGGACTTCCAAACTTCTCAAAAGAGACTATTCAAACAATAAAAAGGTTTTATATGAATCCTCTAAATGGTAAAAGAATCTCATTTGAGTGTTTTCTGTTCTTTAAGTTCTTTGGTGTCGTAATTAAATTTCATTACGAGTTCATATGTAAATTGTTATATGTTGTTGAAGCTGTGGTCTAGTTGTTAGACATACTACTCATGTGGCGATGCAAGTTCAAATTTGATTTATATATTCCAATCATATTCTCAATATTCTCTTTCAGTCCTCCATCCACAGTTGTATCATTAAGTGGCAAAAAAATGTAAATAAAATTAAAATGTACAATATTATTATCGTTGCTGTCACTTTTAATAATAGTAGTTAAGCACTTTATAATTTTTATTTATTTTTATAGACTATTTTATTATTATTAGCTTTGGCCACTTTTAATGATACAATTGTTAAGCTTTTGTTATTGCTAAGTTATTATTTATTTATTTTATTTTTATGGACTATTTTATGGAATGTTTCATTTTTATGGACCATTTAATAATAACAGTAATAACAATAATAATATTTAAATACATGCATGCATTCACAGTACAAGCTTTAAATCATCATTAGCTTTGTCAATTGTTCATGGAAGAGAATTTACTAATTTTTAGCACGTTTAATGTTAGATTTGATAAGCTCTGTATTTATTTGTTTCATATAGACCATTTATTATTAATATTATTGTTATCAAAATTAGTCAATAAATACATACCATATACAAAAATAAACAGTAGAATTTTTTAAATCATTAGTTTTAGTCTATTG